AAATGCTGTGAAATGTGCCGAAGATTTTGATATAATATTAGAAAAACTTAAATCTAACGAAAACCTATTTTACTATAACTTTGTGAATAAAAAGTTAAATATAAATTGATATCAGAAATGAATATTAGAAATCAATTATATTTAACACTAGAAAATATTTTTATTATTACCATTCACACAAATGAATTGTGTTACAATATGGTATTGTAAATATTTCATAGCACCGATAAAAAATCAATAACTCTGATAATAAATAAAAGTTTTATTATATTTCATTTACACAATGCACAGTCAATCAAATGTCATATTTTTATGATTGAATAAACCATGGATTAACAGTATTAAGATATTATTGACTTTTATTATTTTGTATTAAAGACTTAAAATTAAATTTATTTAATAAAAATACTGTATATGAGCTTTAATAAAATACAATACATTGCCTTAAAATATTAATCTAAAGCTACCGAGCAATAAATGTATAGATTTTATCTAATAAATAATTTTCCGCGTAAACCATTATAATAAATTTATATATATTTATAGTCTTGTTCAACAAACACATTACAAAGTTTTATATTAATATATTGTATTTATAATCTTATCAATTGTTTAAATGTCACAATAGCGATCCCACTTGTGTTCAAGAATCAAATAGTTTTATATTAAATGTAAATACAGTAATAACACAATATTTGTAACAACACTCTATATTTGTAATAAGTAACATAAGTCAATACATTTTCTAATAATTTTAAAACACTAAACATCATAATCAATAATACAATAAAACAACTTTTGTTTCAATGCTAAATAGTATTAATTAAATAATTAGTTAATTTTCTTTGAATAGTGTTTTAATATATCTCAATATGTCTTCAATACTGGAAAAGTTTGAAATATGCGACAAAATACCCAAAATTCAGAGACAAGAAATCAAATTATTTCACGTTTTCGACGACACCCAGGGATATAACATCCTATTCGTGACAAACGACAACCTCGTGTATGGGTTAGGCGCCAATACCTACGGATCCCTGGGTTTGGGTCACAACCGGGAGGTCGAGGAGCCGGAGATCATCGATATATTAAGCTATCGAAACATTAGGCAATTTATTAATGGCTTCGCGTTTGTGTTGGCCCTCACCGGGGATCACATGGTGTACGGCTGGGGTCACAATGATTGGGGTCAGTTGGGCCGGGAGCCCACCAACGACTACTACACCCCGCATAGGATCACCATTAAGAGCAAACAGATCGTGCAATTAAGTTGCGGTACTTCCCACTCACTGGCGCTTACGGTGGACGGGGAGGTGTACGGGTGGGGTCGCAACACGTGGGGCGAGATCGGGGTGGACGACAATATATGCGAGGGTATATTCGGGTCGGTGAGGGTGGAGATCCCCCATTATCACAAAATAATGTCCGTTTATAGCAATAACAACACGTCGTTTGCCATCACATGCGAGGGCTTTGTGTACAGTTGGGGCCGCAATGATAGCCACCAATTGGGACATAATATACCCGATAATTACTTTAAGCCCCATATCATTGAGAATTTATATAATGTGCAGACTATGTGCACGTCTACTGTGAACACGTTTTTCCTGACAAACAACGGTTTACTGTATTTTTGTGGCAAATATACGAATGAAGATAACGTGGGTTTGTTTCATAGGGCGCCCAAACTCATTGAAACCGTAACCCATTTCCAACATTTGCACCAAATTAACAGATATTACGACAATTATGGACCCATTATAACAGCCCTTAAGGATAATAAGATTTTTACGATTTTTGATGAACACGAGAATATAGTTGAGACTAATTATAATAATTTCTTTGATTTCTACTCAAATGAGTATCAATTGACTTATAAGACGATTGATTTGAATGAATACAAAGAGTGGGTTATTAAAGACAAACCCGAGTTTGTGCTCAAATCGCTGCAAAAGTTTCATATAAAACCTCAAGAAAATGATTATGAAATTGATGGCAAGCCATTAAATATTTGTTTTGTTTTCTTAATGACTATACATTTAATTACTGTTATACAGGCTTTGCATTCAGCCCGTCAAACATCAGGTTTTATAAGGAAACCTTTGAGGAGTTGGGTACTATTGGCAGCTCAAGTGGTTTTGGGACAGTAGTCAAAGTTAAGCGTAGATACGCTGATGATATATTTGTGGTCAAAATTATTGAATTTAAAGGTATTCATTACAATATTCAACAATCTTATAAATGCTAATAATGTTTAAACAAATTTTTACCAAAGAATCCAATTATGAATACATGTATAAAATATTCCGTGAGTTGCGGTGTTTAGTGAAGATTCCCTCTGAATATGTGGTTCAGTACTACAACTCGTGGTTTGAGCACAAGTTTCTATACATACAGTTGGAGTACTGTTCCCATACACTCAAGAATATCATTGCCCTGAAGGGACCGGAGTTTGCGAGACAACAGCCGGGTGAACCCATGAAAGCCATCGAGTACTTCATATCGTGCGAGATATTCAAAGAGCTGTTAGAGTGCGTGCAATACCTGCACGACTTGAATGAGGGGGTGGTGCTCCGGGACCTCCGGTCCGACAATATACTGATCGCCGAGAATGGCAGGAATGGTAGGTATATTAAGCTGAGTAACTTTGGCTGCGCTATCGATGATGACGACTACGATAGCGAACGCATATATGGGTCCCAAGATTTCGGTAGTTTGGCTGATAGTGGACAGGGAGGTGGGGGCAGTCACTCAGTACATACAAATAAGGCGGATATTTATAGTGTGGGTGTTATCGCTCAGGAGTTGTTTGATATGGATATTCATGAGTGAGTATATTATGGATATTAAAATGTTACTAGTTACTATTTTGTATAAAACTTTTATTTTTGTATTTTTTAGTCCAAATCCATTGCAAAAGTATTTGTCGCACGAATTGATTGATAATTTTGCGAAACTGTTCAAGGTGTTTGTGTCGATGATGGTGGACGTGAGCGGCCAGACATCAACCTGCGCTCAGGTGATCGGCCAGTACTACGACTGGTCCATAGATAAGGATTGTATCAAAAATGTGTCCGATTTTAATGCAACACTTTATAAGACAATGCAAAGTGACTGCGATTTCTTTTATAAGTATATTTTGGATAAAACCAAATGATTATTAAACAATATTAGAGTTTTATTATTAATCTTAATACTGTAGTATATTTTTGTTATTATTTATCAGAGATTTAAAATATGCTAATTGTACAAGTCATACTGTGATTTTAAATTGTGACTACATATTTTTTTATAATAAAAATTAAGTTTACTTTTAGTTTACTCAAAGAATATTCTGTAAATTTAAAATTATGTATTGCGTGTACAGTATTTGAATCATAGCCCAATCTATAGACAATAAAAAGTAATTAAAAATCATTACGTAATACAGTAAGTTATACTCTAATGTAAGTTATCACTGATAACTTATCAGTGATAAGTTATCTTACCAGTATGGGTTTAAAGTCTAAACTTTAGAAACATGTGATTTGAGTCAACAGTTTATTTAATGAATTGTGCTGATTATTAATTTGAATTGAATTTATTAATTAGTTATATTAAAATTTTACAATTATAATTACAGTAAAGGTTATATTACACTCATATCAAACCACTACCATTTTTTAATACATAATTATAATAAAAAGTTACAAAACTTTTATATCCCTCAAATTAATAATGACCTCGATTATTGATCCACATAATATTGTATGTGTTGTTTAAGTGCCTCAGAGTTGTGTCGGAAGGGGTAATAAAATATAAAAATACATAATTTTATTGACTACATAATCTTAAATCATACTTATTCTTGAATAATAAACACCCACACACTTTACTTAAATACAGTATAGTATGTCATAATGTCTTGTGAAGACTACTGACAAGTGACAGAATATTCATGTCATACAGAATATGACACAACAGTTATAATTGTGTGTATGTGTGGGACTGATATACAAAGTATCATTGGTTTACTTATTTAGACACAAAATCATTATAATATTATATTTCTTGAAGTGAAATAATAATTCAAAATGAATCCAATGGACACAGAATTCAGTACAGAATCCTATGACTTGATAGCCATAGATATGGACAACACTTTAGTGAAGTATAACCTGAAGAGTACATTACCACTCATTCACTCATTGATTCAGAAGTCTTTGGTCCACAACTATGGCTACAGTCACGAGATAATTGAAGATTTTTGTCCGAAATATTGTCAAAAAGGTTTAGTTATCGACAAACGGCGCGGAAATGTCCTGAAACTGAACTCAGAGTTCGGGATAATGTCTGTCAGACATGGCTTCCAAGAGCTGTCCAGTAGGTCCACTCGCGAGGTCTATGGCGGTGATGATGTGGTTAGAGATCTGCGAACAATACCCGATGTCTTGTGTTTGGGAACTATTAATACCACTGAATCTGAAGGCTTTGATTACGCGGTACTCAAGAGTTACTTCACGAGCCCTGCGGCACAGGTATTCTCCAAATGTGTGGAAGTGTTGGACATCACCGATGATAATAACGTTTCCGATGACAACAACCTCCGGAACCGTTACGCAAAGATATGGCGCGACATACACTCCTCGACGTGTCTGATGTACGGAAGCGGTCTTAAGCACCGATCCGGGGGTTGGAATCCCGAGCTGATGGACACACCGGACAGGTATCTCCGGAAGACATCGGATCGAGTCATACAACTGCTGAAGATGTGGAGGCAATCGGGAAAACACGTGATTTTGATCACCAGCTCTGATGCCGACCACACGAAGCTTTTGATGAACTATGCGTTTGGCGGTTATCACCAGTGGATCAGATGCTTTGATTATGTGCTGACATTCGCCCGAAAGCCTACATTCTTCACAAGTGACCGGCCATTCCTGGCCATTGATTCCGGTGGTAATACTACCGGTGAGGTAGCCGTCAATGACCTGAAATGCGGACAAATCTATTCTGAGGGCAATTGGCGGGCGTTGAAGGCATTGGTGGCTAAGAAGTGCTCGAAAGCTGATCCCATGTGTCTGTATATCGGCGACAGTTTCACCGACGACTGCATTGTCCCCAATAAGTACGTCGACTGTCATACCATTGGTGTCGTCGAAGAACTCGATGAAGATATTCGTCAGGAATTGGATCCAAACTATTGGCAGTCCTTTTTGAAAGACAGTGACAATAATACCACTCTTTGGTATCATTTACTCAAAAGGCACACAAAACTGTTGGTTCCGGACATGGATTCGTTGGCTAACTATTGCCAACCATAAAGTAAACATTGAATAGGGTTTTAATTATTATAATGTCTTTTAATCGACAAAGTTATTGTATTAAATGTGATTTAATTATGAATTTAATAGTTATTTTATATTTTAATTGCTTTTTATTAGCAAAAAAATTTCTCCCAAAATATAATTCAAATTATTTATTCATGTCTTGTCTTAAACGGCGCTTTAATTCTGTCATTAACTGTAAGTATAGCCTCTCTAGCGTTGGACCACTTATTAGGGCCTGAAATACAAATTAAGTGACAATTTGTTAAATACTACACTATTTTGCTTAAATAAAATTTTGATTCAATTATAAACATACCATTCAATCGGTACTGATAGGGAACACAGGGGCCGAAGTATAGGTGACACCAGAGTTTGGGATCAGTAAAGAAATACTTGAATAGTTTTGGCTTAACGCCAATGATCCTGGCCATTTCCTCCATATACTCGACGTAATGCACATGAAGTGCAAACTTTTCACAGTCCGGAAAATACTTCTTAACCCATGCCTTCCGGTGCTTGATATCGCTTAGCATTTGTTTCTTATGAGGCGTTTGAAGTTTATTAGCCATTAGTAGCGCGAAATAGCGGCTCTGGAGCTCGGCTACCGGTGCTAATGCACCGAAAGGTACTATACAGCCAATGAAGGCCAGTGTCTGGGGATGCGTTAAATGCGGCGAAAATATATGTTTATATAAATTAAAATCCGATTTATTAACGGACAGTAAAGTCTGGGATATGAATGGATAGGATATCTCATATCCAGTGGCGTATATCACGGCATCGCATGTGGTTTCATGAGTTTCACCTAAAAAATCAATATTTTAAAATTTAATTATTTTTTAATTTTTAATCTATATCTAAACTAATTAATAATTTTCTTATTATAAATATAACCAAAAATACCTCTAAATATTACTCCATTTTCGGTGAACTCCTGGATGTCTGGCTTAATGTGCGCCAAACCGGTCATAATTTTTTTGGGCAACTCATCATTGATGACAATATGTTGAGATAATACCCTGTGTTTTGGTTTCAATGCATATAATTTGTGGTCAAATCTGATGTGCAAATATTTCTCGAGTGCCCAACACGACAGGCCATAGGGAAGCAGTTTATACATTGAATACAATGATCGCCGCAACAGAAATGTATCAAACGGTTGACCCATAGGTCCCGATCGGCTGGCAATCCAACTGCCATCACGAGTGGACAGGTATACCTATACATTTAGTATACATTTAGTATACATTTAGTAACTTATTTAAAGTTATAATAAAAATTACTTACATTTTTGCATACATTGGATAACTCGACCCCAATGTCTGCGCCCGAGTTACCGATCCCTACGACTACCACTCGTTTCCCTTCAAAACCATTTGCGTGTTTGAATTCATGTGAATGTAATACCAGTCCTTTAAATATACTTTGATTCTTGAGCTCCGGCATCAATGGTTTACTGTAGTTCCCGGTGCACACCATTACCCCATCAAAAACATCATGAAAAACACAATTACGTAGAATATCGCGCACCGTTAGCCTCCACCTGCCCGTCCCCTCGTAGTCATCATTTTGTTCGCAATTTATTAATTCGTGATTTAGTTTCACATATGCTTTGAATCCAATTCTGTCCGCATATAGAGTCAGATATTCTCGCTTTAAGTGTTGTATAAGTATTAAAATATGTTTCAAAAATAATTATACTCTAATTATACTGGATTTATATTTAATAATGGGAATACCATTTTGGTGTTATGCATATAATTGGGAAAGTCTTTGGGCGCCGGGAAGTCCGAAAAGGCAGTCATCTCTTTACTGGTGTTAAGTATTGTGGATCTCGTGATGGATGCGATTCCCTCGACGTCTTCATCCCTATACTGCCACAGACCGCAGATATCATCG